CCGCAGCTGCTGCGGGTCAAAGTCCTCGTGACCCTCACCCTCCTCCTCGCTGCACGCGCAGGGCGGCGAGGGGCAGGGCGACCAGGAGGGGGTGGCGCAGCGGGGCCGGCGAGCGTGGGGGTGCACGGAGCCGGCCGCCGCTAAATAGATGCTCCAGCGGCCCATCCAGGCGCCGCCCAGGCCCCTCCCTCCAGCCCAGAGCAGCAGCCAAGCACCCCCTGCGCCTGCACCCCGCGCCCGCACCCCTCCTTCACCCCTTCCCCACCGCCCCCCCACCCCCACCTGTGGTCGTCATCAACCTTGCGCTTCTGGTTGCGCGTGCGCCCGCCCTCCCCAGGCTCAGGCGGCTCAGGCGGGCACACAGTGTCCAGGTTGAAGTTGGCCAGCGGCACCCACTCATCCATGCGCCGGTTGACTGCGCCGGGCGCAGGGGCAGGGGCAGGCAGGCAGGGGTGTGTGCGTGGGCAGTGGGTGGAGGCCAGAGCGAACGCGCGGGCGCATGGCGGCGCACCAGCCGGGCGGCCGCGCCTCAAATCGATGCGGAACCCCACCCAGGTCGCACCACAGCCCCTGCTCCCCAGCCAGCCCAGCCAGCCTGCACAGCCTGCGCCACCAACCCCACACCAAAGCCACACGACAGGCCCCCGCTCACACTTGCGGTAGTGAACATAGTACTCGTATTCGTCGGGCGCGCCGCCATCCGCCTTGCGCCGCTCGATGATGCGCGCCGGGTAGAACTTGCCGTCCCGCCACTTGCACTCCAGGTGGGTGCTCACCTCCAGCGGTAGGCGCACCGCGCTGCGCGGCACCGGGATGCGCCCGCTGGGCGCGGCGTTGGCCGGCAGCGCCCCCGCCTGCTGCCCGCCCTGCGCGTCGCCGTCCGCCATCTGCACGTCGCCCTGGTGCGGCTTGCCGCCCATCACGCGCTTGCCCTTGCCAGCGCCCTGGCAGGCAGGCACAGCACGGGAGGTGTGGGCGGCGGCGGTGGCGGGAGGGTGGCGGCGGTGGGGAATGGCGCGCGATCGCCGGGGAAGGTGGGAGCGCGCGACATGCGGCGCGATAGTGCTGCCCTGGCGGACCGTAGGGCCCGGCAGCGCAGACAGCGGCGAAAGATTCCCGGCGGGACTCGTGGGAAGGCACTGCGCACCTGTGTGAGCTTCACATCGTCTGCTACTGGCGGCGGGCTGTTGCCCTTGCCGCTAGCTCGCCGCCTGTCCGCCATTTCTCGCTGTCGCTCCTCGCTGTCGCTCCCAAGCGCCGCCCGATTCAAAGCTCAGCCCACCCCTAGCGCGCTGCAGCACAACTGTGGCCCCTTTCGCCCTTTACTTGTGCCTGCTGCGCGAGGCGCAGCATATGTTTCCATGGCGCAACTCTGGACGGCGCTGGAGCCTTGTAAATTGCGCAGAAACGCCCTCATGGCTATAAAAACACTTTACAGCCCTCAGGTAGCGTTGCGCTCTGGTCAGGGAGCAGCCGCCGCCGCCCCGCCCGGAGTGTCGGGCGGGCGTGCCTTGCGCAGCAGGCGGCCCGTGAGCTGCAGACAGCTCCCCCTTCCTCAGCAAGGGAGTGCCAGACAAGACCACACAGACATTTCAAGTGAGCAGCAACTCACTTGCAGCGCCCCGGAAGCTTGGCGGACTCCCGCTCGCGCATTCCCAAATGAGACCTCCGAGGACGCCCTGTTGCCAGTCTCGGAGCCTACTAGTAACCTTGCAAGAATTACATTTGCATTGCCAACTAGAGGGACGACAGCTTGAATTCATCCATCATCGCAAGGAGGCAAAACACAACAGAGGCCTCGGCGGGTGCGGTCCGTCGAGGAGGAGGGGCGGGAACAAAATGCGTACGGAGTGGGGTGGCAAAAATGGGGGGAGAAGCATGTCTGAAGGTCGGGTACAAAAGGGCGCATTGTAAGCGCGTCATAAGAAATTGGCAAAAAATGGGGGCGCTGGACAGGAGGGCAGCTCGCTACGGGCAACGTACCATTAGATCAGACTGCGCTGTGCTGTGCTGTGCTACGCTACCGCCCCAGCGGGGGCTTGGTGTCCAGCACTGCCCACGGCATGCTCGGCCTAATGGCCTAGGCCTAGTGCCTACGCTTGTACCGCCTCACCCCCGCCTGGGGTACCGCGGTACCAGCAGATAATCCACCACCTGGAGCTGGGCCTCTGGGGGGGGCACCATGCGCGGCGGTCGCAGCAGGTGCACACGCTCCTCCACAGGCACCCACCTGCAGCGCAGGCGCAGGTGGCGGGGGTGGGGGTGGGGGACAGCTCAGGGCAGGTGCAGGCCAGGCCCAAGAGCAGGCCAGGCACGATGGCTGGTTCAGCCTGCTCCGGCCCCAACATCCGACCACACGCTCGCCTCCCCACCACCCAGCCCCTGCCGCCTGCCTGCTGGGGAACTTGGCGCGGTGGGCGGGGACGTCACGGTTGCCGCCGCCGTGCGGCGTGCGCCAGCGCGGGTCCTCGCGCCACGCGTGCGGCGAGCGCTCCAGGCCCAGCGCAAACATTTCCAGGTCGCCGGCGCGGGTGATGTGGAAGCGCAGGAAGCCCTTGAAGTGGGGCACCTGCAGGGAGGAGAAGGCCTCGTCGTAGTGCACGTGGAACCTGCGGGGGGGCGGCGGCAGGGTGGTGGTGGTGGTGGTGGTGGTGGTGG